ACTACTGGGTAGTGTGGACTCACCTATTAATATATCAAAAGGAAATATGAGCATCCTGGATAGCATATTAGTTTATTTTTTTATGTTCCTTCTTTGTTGATTCTCTGTGGTATGGGCAGAAGAAATATTGAGTCTATAAGACTTTCCAGACTTTTGATCAATAAAATGTACTGTCCTGTTACCAAAAATGATGTGGAGTCTCAAATCTGAAGATGAAATCTTGATTCTAGCTAATGAGGAACATAGCTGGGCATCCTTTTATCTACTTGAGAGCATATGTACAGTAAGACTTAAAAGTTATTCATTTTCAGGCTGGGGTTGTGGCTCAGCAGTAGAGCGCTCTACCTAGCACATGCAAGACCCTGGATTCCATCATCAGCACCACATAAAAATAAACAAGTAAAATAAACGTATTGTGTCCAACTACAACTAAAAAATAAATATATTTTTTTAAAAAGTTATTTGTTTTCCTCTGGGATAAGTTAGCCTAGATACATAATACTAGCTGTATTCAAAAATAAATAAATAAATAAATCCTAAATCTTCCCTCTTTGAGGATCGTGAACTCTCTTGGCTTTTGTTATGCTTAATGTTTCTATTAGCAATGAACATTATTCTCTTGCTCCATTTTTATGCTCAGGTCATTCAGGGAGCCCTATTTCTTTGTCTTGAAAAAGATGTTCCCTACTCCCAGAATACAGGATCCACTCTCCCTTGTGCACTTCCATGGATGGCAACATCAGGATCTAAAATCCATAGAGGAATGATGCGTGTTTCTTGCTGTTCCTGTGGTGTCAGCTTAATGTAGCCAGTTTGTTCTTCAATGAGTGCATCAGGCAAATGTTTTTAAAGCTGAAAATCTTGATTAAAATGAATTGTTTGGTTGCTTTTTAGTTAATAGCAAAATTATATACACATTTATACTTAAAACTACTAGATGAATGAAAGATACAACGTTATAGTTGCCTTTGGGCCCGCCCTTTGAATATATTTTCTCCAATGTTTAACAGATCACTTTTTTCTTGAGTAATAATTTCTGAATAAAACTTAGTTCAGCTGCACTTGACTAATGTAGCTATATAAACTCCAAGGACTTAGTTGTATAGCTTAAGCATTAGTTCCAGGGAATTAATATTTTAGTCTGACAGTTCTTAATTTATGGCAGCTTTAACTATAGAACCTTATTTGTGGTTTTAGCTCTTGATGGATAAATTTTTTATTAAAAATAATAATAAAGTTCTTTATTAAATGGTGGGGGAAAATATAAGTATTTTGAGATAATAGGGTGTTTTTTGTTGTGTTTTGTTTTTGGTCCAGTATCTTTGTGGTGCACCTGCAGTGACCCAGTGTATGATTATATATTAAAGATTCCTGTATGCAATAAAAAAAAAAACTTCCTGTCGTGAGCAATTTAGAAAGACTCTGTCTCAAAATAAAAAATAAAAGAAGGGCTGGAGTTGCAGCTCAGTGGTAAAGCACCCCTGGGCTCAATCCTTAGTACCATTAAAAAAGAAAATAACTGGGCTGGGTTGTGGCTTAGTGGTAGAGTTCTTGCCTAGCATGTGTGAGGCACTGGGTTCAATTCTCAGCACCACCTATAAATAAATGAATAAAATAAAGATCCATCAACATCTAAAAAAATTTAAAAATAGATAAATAAATAAAAATTTTAAAAAAAGAACCTCCTGTCAAACAGACTCATTTTATTCTTTGTAGAAGTAGAAACTACAGTTATTTTATTTGAATTTTATGCCTTAAGTGAACACTTATGTCAAATTGAGGGATCCTATATATGTGAATCTGTTATGGCCATATGTTCTGTTCCATTGTTCTGCTTATCCTCATACCACAATCATTCTCTTCACCCTGGCTTTATAATAAGACAATTTATGTTAGAGCTACTCTCCTTGGCATGTCTTTGAAGACTGCCTTTTGTTGTTTTGTTTTGTTTTTTTGGTACCAGGGGCGCTCTACCACTGCATTACATAGCCCCAGCCCTTTTTAGTTTTGAGGCAGGGTCTTGCTAAATTGCTGAGGCTGGCCTTGAACTTGGGATCCTCTTGCCTCAGCCTCCTAAGCTCCTAACCACCACACCCAGCTGGACCTTTAAATTTAAAGGAAAATTATCTTCTTTCCGTATTATCTTCCAAACAGGGAATATGGTATATCTATCTATAGCACTGGTGCCTCAGATTTATAACAGGTAGTTTGAGTATCCACTTATTTAGATCGTCTTAGATGTTTTTCAGTAAAGTGTTTTTGATTCTATAATATTTTTTATTGATAGTTGCAACCCAAGAAGAAAATTTTTTATAGAATTATTCCATCACTTAACATACTATTGGCTGTTTTATAGTCTCAATGAATTTTTATTATTTTCTTTATATAAATATCTCACATCTTTTATTAGATTTATGCCATGAATGTGCATTAGTTATATGTTGCTGTATAACAAATTGCTGCAAAAATAGCAGCTTACTGTGCATAAATCCTAGCAACTTGGGATGCTGAGGCAGGAAAATCGCAAGTTCAAAGCCAGCCTCTGCAATTTAGCAAGGCCCTAAGCAAGATAGCAAGACCCTGTCTCAAAATTAAAAATAAAAACGGCTGGGAAAGTGGTTCAGTGGTTTGGCACCCCTTGGTTCAATCCCTAATGCCAAAAGAAAAATAGCTTAAAACAACAACAAATAGTTATTATTTATTTCACAATTTCTGTGGATCTAGAATTTAGGATGAGCTTAGCTAGCTAATTCCAGCTCACAGATTTGAGAGTTTGTAGTCCTTTATGTTAGCTGGGCTATAGTCCTCTGAAGGAGTAACTGGGCTGGAGGATTCCATTACAAAACAGATGATTCACGTGGCCCACAGATCAGGCTCAGCTGCTGGCGGGGGAGTGGTGCCACTTGATGGTGGCTGCCTACTCCACAAAAGTGATCCACTAGAGCAAGGCAGAAGTCACGGTGACTTTTATGATCTAACCTGAGAAGTCACACTCCACCACGATATCCTAATGTTTATGTACAGGTCAGGCCCATTTCCCTGTAGGAGGGGATTGTACAAAGGTACAAATACCAAGAGGCAGGAATCACTGGGGACCATTTTGCAGGTTGACTACCCTAGGTGCTATTTTAAGTAGTTTATTTTTATCTCATTTTCTGGTCATTGCTTTTGTAATCTTTTTCCTTTTTGTGGCATTTAATGCTTGAATCCAGTAGTCTTATTAACTTATTATTCTATTAATTTGGGAATTCTTTTGGAATTTTCTAAGATAGTCTTCTCTAGATAGTGTTCCCTTTCCAATCTTCTACTCCTTTTATTTACTTTTCTTAACTGCACTGACTAGAACTGACAAACATAATGTCACAGTCATCTGCAAATAATGATTTTATTTCTTAATCTTTTTGTTTGTTGGTTTGTTTTGTGCTGAGGAGTAAACATGGGTCTTCATGAATGCTAAGCAGTTGCTCTACTACTGAGCTACACTCTCAGGCCTTTTCCTACATTTATTTTATCTTGTTTTACTGACTACAGCCTTCTAGCAATGTTGAATAAAAACAGGGATAGAATCTTTTCTTATTCATGTTTTTTTTTTAATGTTTTAGTTGTAGATGGACACAATACCTTTATTTGATTGATTTGGTTTTTTTTTTTTTTTTTTATGTGGTGCTAAGGATCGAACACAGTGCTTCCATATAGGCAGGCGCTCTACCACTGAGCTACAACCCCAGCCCTTCCTTATTCATGATTTTAAGGACATTTATGTGTTATGAGTTTTTAATAGACATCCTTATGAACTTCATATTTTTCCTATTCCTAGTTTGATAAAAAGTTTTAAATCATTCAGTGGATATTGAATTCTATCAAATGTTTTTTCTACATGTTTCTCATGTTATTTTTCTCCTTTAATCTGTTAAGGGGAGTTCCTTTGTTTTTTGTTTAGTTTTCATGTTGAAGCAGTCTTATGTTTCTGAGTACTAGCAGCCACTTCAGCATAGTTCAGGCCGAGGGACAGCACCAGGTGAGGGCTCAAGGTTCCCTGTAAGCAGTGATTCCTGAAGTGGGCCAGGTCCCAGCCAGGCACGGAAGCTCTTGGCAGAATGTGTGATTCTCCATTTCATACATACCAGTTGTGCGTCCAAGCTGAGAGTATGATTTGCTAGAACGATGCAGAGTACAGCATATAAGGATGCGACTGTACACTGTTGCGCATCAGTGTTTCCCCATTTGTAAAAGCATCTCATATGTTGTGCATATGAGGGAAAAGAAAACAACACACAACAGTCAAGGCACATCTGGCATGGATGAGCAGCAGTCAAGAAGGCCCAGGTGGGGTTGTAAGCAGTCATTCATTCACTCTTTAAGTATTAACAGTCTGACATCTGTCCAGAAGTTTGTTGTCTGGGAGCAGTGGCTTGGCCTCTAGAAGCCCAGAATGCCTATAGACTCTGTTTCGGGTGGCTGGTCCAAATGAACTTAGAACTACAGTTCACACAAGGAACAACACTCATGTCTCTTGAGTTTTCCACCTCTTGTAAACCATATTACTGACACAGACAAGCTCCTTTAAAAGGAATAGCTACTAGACAACATAACAGGTTCCCATCTCAAAGGGAAAAAAATTTGGGGGGCTGGTGTGTAGCTCAGAATATCTGCTTAGCATGCTTAAGGCCCTGGGTTTGATCCGTAGAAGAAGAAAAAAAAAAAAAAAAAAAAGAAGAAGAAGAAGAAGAAAGAAGGTAACCAGGTGTGTCTTAGGAACTCTCTCAGTGTACTCCATTGAGTATGTTACCTTAATGATTCCTGTGCTAATGACATTTCTTAAACTGAGTCATTTTTTGTACTTCAACCTGATCAGACATCCCAAGTCTAGATTTTCTCCTTGCCAAGTACGGACAGAAGGGGGCTCTGACACTTTCAAACCTAAATACCATGTATGGCCTATATCTCTGAATAGGGGCCTAGTACATAAGCAATCATCTGTGCCTTCTTTTTCTGAGCAGATCCCGAATCAGCAAAGTGGAACTCTTCAGATCATTCCAGAAGCTGCTGAGCAGCATTTCAGAAGACAAGTGGCCAGACTCCCTCAGGTGACGCTGTTGACCCACATTTTTCATGTTTGGGAACATTTCTGTTTTGGTTTGGGCTTGTGAACAGCAGGAAGCTTTGGCAAGAATGGCGGTTCAGCAAGTCAGTTGGGCACTTAATTATTGACCACATGTTCTTCTGTACCCACAGCTCTGCCTGCAGAGAATGGGAATTTGGAAGGTTTGTGTCTGGTCTTGCTGAAGTGAACAAGGGGGACATTCTTGAGTCTTAAGTCATAGAAACAAAATCAATTTTTTTGCAGTGACCACAAACATAAAACAGGTGATAGAGATGTGGGTTTTGTTTTGTTTTGTTTTGTTTTGTTTTTGGTGATGTTTGGTGGAGATTGAAGCTAGGGCTAGGTAGGTGCTATACTGCTCTAGAAGATTTTGCACCATAGCCGTTTTCAGGAGCACAGTACACAGGTAAAGTTTCAGGTTGTCATATATATGGATCCCCACCCCTTAACTGTAGGAAATTGATCAAACAACTGAAATCAATGTCTGCTAAAAGAAGAACTTTTATGGGCTAGGATTGTGGCTCAGCAGTAGAGTGCTTGCCCAGCACGTGTGAGACCCTGAGTTTGATCCTCAGCACCACATAAAAATAAATAAACAAAGGTATTGTGTCCAGCTACAACTAAAAATGATATTTTTTTTAAAAAAGCAACTTTTCTCTGTGCTGTGACCAGCAAATAACTTGGGTCTCCTCAGATCTTGCCATAGAACAAAAGAGTAAAAACAGGATAAAAGTGAATTAATGAGACATGAACCTCTGCTTCTTTGGCCATAAGAGGAGTAGTTTCATTAATCATGTCATAAGATAGTTGAGAATATGTGAAATATTGCCTGTAAACCACTTGACTAAGACCTAGCTTATTATTGAGTTTTTATAACTGGTAACTAATTGTATTTGATAAAAATATTCTATGAGATACACATTAAAGAAATCATTAGTGCTGTGGCTGTGGCTTACTGGTAGAGCACTTGCCTAATGTGTGAAACACTGGATTCTATCCTCAGTACCACATAAAAAATAAATAAACAAAATAAGGGTATTGTGTTCAAATGTAACTAAAAATATTTTTAAAAAACATTATTCATATACTTATTCAAGAGGCTAAGAAACACCATTTAGGAGGGACTGCTATGGTGGAATATAGACTGGGCTCAGCTGCAAATATAAGGACAAGTAGAGACTTAAAGCCAAGGAGCAGGGGAAGGGATTGGTGGATGGAAATTACTAAGCAGAAACAACAAGACTAGTTGGGGAGTCTTCCTGGGCCTAACACACAGGAAGTTCTTGCTGAAGATAACAAGAGTGGGGTAAAGAGTTTAATTTTGGCGGTGATCTAATAGCAAGGGTGGTGGGAGATTTTTTTTGCTAAACTGACCCAGCAAAATTCTTGCTTAGAGAGCTAACTTGACTTAGAGGGCTAAGGGCAAAGCCTAATGTCAAGGACAGTCAAAAAAAGAACTCAAAGGATTCTGACTCAGTTTGGTCAAAGAGTCTGTCAGGCCAAATGCATTGCTGCAAACCTATAATCCCAGGAGGGGCAAGCAGATTGGAAGTTTAAAGACAGCCTGGGCAATTTAGTGAGACTGTCTTAAAATTTTAGAAAATTTTAGCTGGGTGCAGTAGTGCACGCATGTAATCCCAGCAGCTCAAGAGGCTGAAACAGGAGAATTGAGTTCAAAGCCAGCCTCAGTAACAGCGAGGTGCTAAGCAACTCAGTGAGACCCTGTCTCTAAATAAAATACAAAATGTGGTTCAGTGGTCGAGTGCCCCTGAGTTCAATCCGTGGTACCAAAAACAAAAAAAATTTTTTTTTAGAAAATTCTTTAGTAGTCAGAGGTGGCTAAGGGATTTGGGAAGAATGTTGTCTGGCAATATATAGGAAAATATGTATATGATAGGAGTTTTTCTTTTACAATAGTGGGGACTGAACCCAGGACTTCCTGCATGCTAAGGGAGCACTCTGCCACTGAGCTACATTTCCAGCCTTTTTTATATTTGAGACAGTTGCTCTGGGGAAGTACAGTGACATCCTTCTGTTTCTGGTCTCTCAATACAATTTCTCCAGCTACTTGTCCAGGTGTCTTGGGCCCCAAGGGTGAGTGGTTCCATGAGAACCTGTGTTGGTATGTGTGCATTAGGTTGCAGAAGTTGGACACCTACCAGGAGCATAAGGAGGCTGCATCTGCTTACCAGGAAGCCTGGAGCGCACTTCGGAAGCAAGCCTTTGCATCCTGGATCAGAAACCCACCAGACTATCACCAGTTTAAATGAGAAAGAGAAGTTTTTAGAAGATCTGCTGGTAGCAGGACTCTTCATGTTGACTGCCTCTTCCTTCATGCAGGATAATCCTTAAGCTTTTCTAATGGCTAAATTAAAAAAAAAAAAAAAAAAAAAATTCAGCAGAACCTCCTCCCAGAGGACTGAACCTCATTTTGTA